TTGTAGTTGTGTGGACTGTGCTTGTGGGATCCCATATGTGTGTGTGTGTGTGTTGAGGGCAGACGGTGTTCTGTGTATTTTTTGTTGTTGGGTTCATGTAAAAGTTTCTAATAGATAGTAGTTTAACATTTCAGACAAGAAAGGGTTAATGCAAAAGTGTGGTTGCCGGCAGATATTTATGGTTGCTGCTGAAGCAGGCAGGCAGCTGTAGCTGCTGCCGAGCAGGCAGGCGTTTGTAGCCGTGCAAAGCAGGGTGAGCAACTACAAAAAAAAAAAAAAGGTTATTTGATAAGAGTTTAGTCCCCATGTTCAAAAGAAGCTGCCCTCCGATTCGGCTCCCAGTGCTCCACCGGTGGAAAGACCAGGATGGACACCGGAGCTGAGGAGAAAAAACAAACAAACAAAAAAATAAAACAAAACCAAGCTTAATATGTTTAAAGTAACCTGGGGATGAATCCAAGACTTGGAGGAACAGATAGGTCGGTTGAAACAAGAACTGCGAGAGGGGTAGTGCAACCACAAGCCTTACGAGCCGTCACCTAAGCCGCATCACGGTGGCAGATACAGAACCTATCTACTTCTCAAGAACTGACAACCTCGAAAAGTGGATATATTTGTGTCCTCCTGCCTACAGGTCCATGGCAAATGCCTGCAAAGTTTGTCAAGCCTTGCCATGAGCTGGACAGACAAATGGAGGAACCTGATGCCTCAGCTGCAGGAGCTGAATGTGAATACCCCAAGCAGAATGAGATAGAGGAAGAGAAAAACCAATGATTGCTAAACATTATTTGGAAGCAACTGAAAAGTAACAGCTTGAATATGTGTGCTTGTAAAGTAGCTATTGTTAGAAGCTTTGATTTTGTGTATGAAACCACCTGTATTTACTAGTCAAATGCTAATAAGAAACTACACCTTGTATTATACGGATTTGTCACTTGTAAAAGAGATGTTAGAGTATGCAAATTTGTAGTAGCTGCTAGAAAATGCTAAAGCAAAAGATAGAAATATTCTAATACAATGGTAGTGTTATAAAACAGGTAATGGAACAAATTAAGAGGGTGAGAGAATTCCACTGGTAAGAAATTTCTTTGGCTAGTCCCTTGCTGGCATCAGCATCTTCAACATGCTGCTGCACCCTGTAATAGTTACTCTGCTAATGTAAATCTGTGTGTGTGCCTTGCCATAATAACAACTTGGTATTGGATGAAGCAGGTGAAACTGCATTGACAACAAGATGCAAGGACTGAGGCTGACCAAATGCCTGCTACCACAATCAAGGGCAAGGCTGGGTTCGCCTCTGTGCCTGCCACCAAGAAGAACCTTTAGCTCCACTGCTGGCTGCAACCCAGCAGGTGTGGAGCGGTGGGGACACATGCCATGCCAGACCTTGATGTGAAGGATGGCCTCCCCTGTTACCAGAGAGCCATACGTGTTGCATGAATCTCTCAGGCCATAGTAGCTCTATACACAAGGAGCTGCAACAACTCAAAGACAACTTGCACAAATTAAAAGAAGGTGACTTTTGGGACCTCACCTCTTGGTTAAGATCACTGGGACTAGGATCCTGGCTAAGCAGTATTTTAAGTCATTTTTTGCCTGTATGTATCTTACTTTTGCTTATCTTGATTTGTTTGCCTTGTATTATTCAATGTATTCAGCAAAGCCTTATGAAAATTGTAACAAATATGCTTGAAAAAGAAAAAGGGGGAATTGTGGAAGCGTGGTTGGCAGGCAAGGGTTACGTTCCCATGGCTGAACTTGGCCAGGGACCAGTTTTGTAAAAGTCAGTGAGAAACCCAGCTCGGTAAAAAACACCAGCTGTGCAGGGGGGTAAAACTGACCTTGTAGTTAACGAGCATCTTGAAGGGAGGAATAAGGAGGTTAGAAAACGGGATGTGCCTGTATTGGTACCTTGCTTATTACAATGTTTGCAAAGCTTACTTAGTAGATCACTTAGCAAAATTTTCCTTGTGTGACAGAAAGCATCCTGGGTTGTGCAAAAGAAAAACGGGGGAATTGTGGAGCAATGGTTATTCTCACGAGGGCCTGCACAACCCAGGATTAGAGCCGAGTGAGACAGCCTTGAACTCTCTCTGACTCAGCTGTATGGAGTACCCAGCAACAAGCTGCAGAAACTGCTGAAGGGGACAGTGAATTATTTTGAGCCTGGTGGGCCCATGGCATTTCAGGCCAACAGAGCAGAGATGCAACATAGAGATGGACTCATGATCGAGGGGTGGACTTAGCAATGGACACTATTGCCCAGGTTATTCACAAGTGTGAACACTGCACACAGCCTCTTCTGTTACAAGAGATGGAGCCTGGCATCATGGACGAGATGGACTCAGCAGCTTTGTAGGGACTAGTCCATGCACTAAGATAGAAGTGCACTGAGATCAGAGTGATGGTATATTGAAAATGTAGGATCTGAGCATGACGTGAATGGTATGGAATAAGGGGTGGATAATGTCCTGGGTTTAGCAGCAGCAGTCATTTTTTCTCCTTCTTGGTAGCTGGTGCAGTGCTGTGCTTTGACTTACAGCTGGGAACAGAGCTGAAAAGCAATGATGTTTTGGTTTGGCCAAGGACTTTGTGAGCCTCATGCTCTGCCAGTGAGGAGGGGGAGCCGGGCGGAAGCAGAGACAGGACACCTGACCCAAACTGACCAAAGAGGTATTCCATACCACAGCATGTCATGCCCGGGATGTAACTGGGAGAGTGACCCGGAAGGGGGCTAGAGAAGGGACTGCAGGGTTGGAGGAGGTATCAGTTGGTGCTTGATCGGGCTTGGGGTGCAAGTTATTGATCGCCTGGTGATGGGGTGTTGTATTCTCTTCCCTTGTTATTTCCTTTATCATTACTATTATTGGTGGTAGCAGTAGTGATTTGTGTTATACCTTAGTTACTAAACTGTTCTTATCTCAACCCGTGGGAGTTGCATTCTTTTCGATTCTCCTCTCCGTCCCTCCAGGAGTAGGGGGAGGGCAAAAAGGGGGGGAGTGGGTAACAAGCTGTCTGTTTGGGTTTAAACCACAACATAAAGAAAAAAGGAAGAGATAAGGGCAAAGGAAGAGAGGTGGGTGGAAGGAGGAAAAAAGAGGAAACATGGGGGGAAGGAGGAAAAAAAGGAGATTGGGGAAGGAGTAATAAAGGAGGAGAGGTGGAGGAGAAGGAAAAGAGGAGGAAATGTGGGGGGAAAGAGGAAAACAGGAGGAGACATGGTGGGAAGGAGGAAAAAAGGAGGGCACATGGGACAGAAGGAGGAAAAAGTGAGATGGGAAGGAGGAAAATGGGAGACGTGGGGGGAAGGTGGATAAAGATGGAACATGGGGGGAAGATAAAAGAAGAGACTGGGGAAGGAGGAAAAAAGGCAGAGGCCTTGGGGGAAGGTGGAAAAAGAGGAAACAGTGGGGGAAGATAAAGGAAGATACTGGGTGCGATAAACACATAAATGTATTGGCTTTCGAAAATCATAGGTGGGGTTATGAGGGAAGAAATGGACTATGCCCGATCCAATGTGAATCCAGCATAATTCCCTTTATTGTGTGACAAGCACATATTTATATCATTCTACTTCCTTTACACGCAATCACACATTCTTTGATGAATGTACTAAGCAGTAACTTTCCCCTCTTTTACTCCCTTATCATCCCGATTTAGCAACACTACTAAAGGTTACAAATATTCACACTGTTTGGTCTGTCTTTGAGATGCACACCCTTCTTTCTCTAGCAAACCGCCTGCTTTGTTTTGCTACCGGATCTTTACCCTTCATAGTTCTCTTTACAGTTCCCAAGGCTTAGGCCCCAGCAGGACATTAACACCTGGTGTTTTCTTCATGGTTCCCAAGGCTTGAGCCCCAGGGCAACAGCACCTGGTATTTTCTTTACCATTCCCAAGGCTTAAGCCAGGCCAGGGTGACAACGCCTGGATCCATTTCATTAACTATTTCTATCCGCCACCCACATCTCCCTCTTTTTGTTTTACTAAAAGACAGTCTCTATAGATGTATCAATAAGTTGTTGCAAGCACAGCACACAAATTAAAAATACCTAAAAAGACTAACAGAATGATTAATCCCAACAAGGCACACAAGTTAGAATACCTAAAAAGACTAAGGCACACAGATTAGAAAATCTAAAAGGCTAACAAAATGATTAAAATATAGCCATTCTGTAATGCTCAAGCCAGAAAACACTTTGTTCAACCAATTCAGTCCCTCATCTTCCTGAAGGTGTGCTGTCCCTGTTATTAAGTTCGGAATGATTTTATGGATGATCTGATAAATTTTTGCAGCACATACCAGCAAAATCTTCGCACCCATGGTCTTGAGCTAACAATAAAAATCAATAGCCGTTCTGTCCTGTAGTGAGGCGTGCCTCACAGAATCAACGTCTAAAAGCAACCCTGTTGTCCAGTGGTACCCTTTCCGGGCTTAAATGTTCCCAGTCTATTACTAGTGGCTGGAAAGTCCAGTTGAGATATGCTCCCACACAGATACGCTCTGTTGACTGGTTCTCCAAAAAGAGACTAGTTAACTTTGTACAGTTCCCACGGGTTAACTTCAAAACAGCAATGAATTGGCATCTATCTTCATTGGCAGCCATCGCCTGTATGAACGGAAGAGTACATCGCGCGGGGTCCATTGAGGTCCTCGTTCTGTAAAGACACAAGCATAGCCTCTTCCCTAAGTTATTAACCTAAAAGGGCCTTCCCAGTTATGATTTTCCAAAGACTACCATTACCATAAAGGGTTCTTTCCCTGGTATCAGACCTGGACCTACATGTGTTAGTGCAGAAAAATGCCTAATCACTGGGGGGGCATTCGTTACTGTGTGTAAATCAGAACTGGATAACGTTAGAAAATTTAAGACAAACATTGCTTTATTGATTCGTGCATTTGGGGTCTCCCCTATCATTCCCCCTTTTTTGTTTTACTAAAGTTTTTTTTTGTTTTATTTTTTTGTTTGTTTGGGGGTTTTTTTAAGGGGGGTGGGGGAGTGAGTGAGCAGCTGTGTGGTTCTGAGTTACTGGACGGGCTTATACCATGACAGTTCTTTGTGGTACCCAACGTGGGGCACGAAGGCTTGAGAAAATGACAGATCTGACCAGAGTGTGTCTAAACGTATTTGTGATAAGCATTCATTGTTTCGGATTAATAGTCACTTGTCACAATGCTGATTTATTCGCTCTCAAAGTTGTTGCTCTTGATCTCAGAGTTTCAGCATGCCATACCTTACTTGCAGCCGGTATTTGCTGGCTTAGCGTTTATTGGCTGGGGGGCTTGGGCTAAGGTTCTTGTTTCACTGTACTTTATGGTAATGACTTGTAATACAATAGACTTATTGATCATGAAACTGATCTGGCTTGTGTTTCCAATGTGGTCATCACCTCTATACTTTGGGAGGTATATAATGGAAGTGTTTAGCAATTACACATTTTTTTTCCTCCTCGGGTGGTCAACCTATGAAGGAGACATTCCCTTACACTTCCAGCTCCCCCACCAGATTATTTACAGCATTATTTGAGAGTTATGAAGGTTTTAAATGGCCTTTGGGTACCCTTGAGACCTGCCTGCTGATTGTGATGGGGATCAGCATGTTGGCACACATACAGAGTGTGTTTTACCCATGACCATTTTGTCTGATCTAGAAAGTTAAGCAGAGTCAGGTTTGGGTCTTTTCTAGGGTTAGATGACAATATAGGAGGACCAAGAGATTTTCCCCGAGGCTGGACAGTCATGACTGGCAGGGTGTGTGGGATAGTATGGGCAAGTATCTCAGCTAGTGGGCCCCACCAGTGCTTTAGAACTTCACCATTGAGCAAGTGCAAAATACAGAAAACCTAGTAAAACACATGAGGTGTGTTGTCATCCTGGTCATACCAGAGAGGGACAAATCATAGCAGCATGTTGGGGCTTGGCCTATGCCTAGAGAGCCCTGATCAACACTATCCAGTTCCTTCAAAGGGAAAGTCTCTAGATCTGATGGCAAAGCAACAGACAACACACCTACTCGAACTCCAGGTACAGCAGCTACACCAACCCCAGAGACAAGTACAGCAGCTACTCAAACTCTGACAACAGGCAATGCAGATACTCCAACTGCAATTACAGCAGCTACACCAACCCCAGTGACAAGTACAGCAGCTACTCAAACCCCAAGAACAGCAGACAGAGCAGCTGCTGGTGCTACTCAACCCCCAAGCACAGCGGCTACACCAACCCCAACAACAGATACTGCAGCCACTGCAACCACAATGATAATCACTGCAGCTAAACCAATTCATGCCAATATCGGTTTCCCCTGTGCGCAAGGGGAAAAGCAAACAAGAGGAACAAAAACCAACCTGTAGAGTGAAGAAAGATGAAGAACCAATGCACTTACTACATGGGACAGCATCTGATCAAGAGTTATTATTATGTAGATCAGAGGAAGAGGAAGAAGAAGAGGTGACTTCTCAACCGAGCTACGGAATATGCAAAAATGATGACATGATCGTGTGGGGTGATACATCAGAAGAAGTTTTTGAGAAAGGGAGGAAAATAATCCAAATCCTGCTAAAAGCTGGCTTTGCAATAAAATGGAGTAGGTCAAGGGACCTGCACAGGAGATTTGATTATTGGGAATAAAATGGCAAGATGGACATCTCCAGATCCCCACAAATGTGATCAACAAGATAAGAGCAATGCCTCCACCAACTAATAAGAAAGAAACACAAGCTTTCTTAGGTGTTGTGGTGTTCTGGAGAATGCGCATCCCGATTTACAGTTTGATTGTAAGCCGTCTCTATCAATCATGTGACCCTGAAGAAGAATGCTTTCAAATGGGGCCCTGAGCAACAACAAGCCTTTGAACAAATTAAACGAGGGACAGTTCATGTAGTAGCTCTTGGACCAGTCTGGACCAGGCCAGATGTAAAAAATGTGCTCTACACCACAGCTGGGGAGGATGGTCCTACCTGGAGCCTCTGGCAGAAAGCTCCAGGAGAGACTTGAGGTCGACCTCTTGGCTTTCGGAGTCAGGGATACAGAGGATATGAGGCAGGTTATACCCCATGTGAAAAAGAAATACCAACAGCCTATAAAGGGGTTCAAGCTGCTTCAGAAGTGATTGCCCTGAAGCACAGATCCTCCTGGCTCCCTGGTTGCCTGTGCTGGGCTGGATGTTCAAAGGCAGGGTCTCCTCTACACATCATGCAACTGTTATAAAAATTCATCTTAGCCATGATCTGGTTTAATTATTTTATTGCAGTTGATTAATATCAAGAGGCAATAAGCAAGCAGCGCTGGGTGCGCCAGGGAGTCTCCGCTCCACCAACGACGCACACCGGGGTCTTTGGGGTTCAGTCTTTTATACTTTGTGGTCCTGGGTCCCATCCAATCCTGTCTTCTCCTTTACGTCGACGTGGCTCCTTTCTATTATTCTTCCTTGGTTGCTGGGGTCTTGTCTCCGGTTGAGAAATTTTTACCCTTCCTTAAAGCACTCAAGCAGTAAAACAAAGCCATAAAGCACCCTTATTATTTTAACAGTCAAAATGATTAAAGAGGAGACTAGTCTATTCCCTTGTTTTTTCTTCTTTTACATCATTACATTGATAGCAACATTTATTATACATGGTACACTGGTCACAGGTGCATTGGTAACAATGATTACTATGTTCTTGACACAAATCATTCTCGTATTCTTTACAATTCCATTTGTTTTTATGGAACTTATTGATTCGTGGTTTGGCTTCTAACCTAACGACTGCTTTCCGAGCCGCAGATAATATTGGAGTCGCCCTTTTTTTTAATATCATCAATGAGTGAATTCCTCCTTGATTTGTCTTTTCAGATTCCAGTGGTATAGCAGTTAATTGCATGTTCTGGACAACTGTATGTATCAATTTGGTAAATCACAGGATTATACATGGAATAATTAACAGTCCTCCAAAATTGATTCCATTCCAGGTTTGACTGGAACATGGGTGTTTTCATTTCCCTTATTAATTCATTTATGGCTTTTCCTTCATCATCTATTTCTAGACAACAATTACTAAGATTAAATTTTCCACAGACCCCTCCTTCCTGAATTAACAAATAATCTAAAGGTAGACGGTTCTGACATATTGCGGTTCTCATCTTGGTATTCTATTTTGCAACTAATCCTAATGCATCTCCTGTTTTATTTACCACTATTTCCACTACAGCTTGTAACCTTATAATCCTGTTCAGCATATATATAGGAGTCCTGTATCCCCAGGACCCATTTTCAGCTGAAGTTGCCCGATCTTAGTATGAGATTATTCGTTCAGGTGGCCAGTCATTGTCCTTCCAATTACCAATTTGCAGTTCTCTTTTATATTGTTTTCTCCTTAGTTCATTGGTCTCTGTGTATAACTGGACTCCTAAGCATTCTCCTCTGCTTATAGGTAATAAGAAAAAACTAGGTCTGATTGTTCCCAATATACACAATCCTGTCCAGTTTTGAGGTAAAAATGCAAAGGCTATTTTACCACAAATCCAATAATGTTCATCTGGAGTGGGCCACCCATTTGGTATATTAGTTCCATTAGTCCACTTACTAAATTGCTGATTCATTTCTATAGGATTTCCCCATTTTTCCCAGTTTTTCTTTGTTTTGTTCCATATATAGTCCCCTTCACAAAGTAAATTTCCTACCGGTTTTCCACCCTTTTCTAAGTTTTGCCAACAACTTTTTCCTACTATATTCGTTTGTAAAATCCATTGCTGTTGCCTATTGTTCCCTTCTCGATTTTTCCAAATTGTAGAATCACTTATATTACTTTCCATTGCCTCCCAGGACCATCTCCCTCCCTGGTTAGTTCCCCCACAAACATAGCAGTTAGTTACATTCAATGCTTTAGCTATATTTTCGGCAAGATTTACAAAGAGATTTTTAGCAACTGTGGGAATTTCAATTTCATGATAGAAGGAATTGAATAATAAGTGGTGTTGTACTGACTCTCTAGATTTTTCTTTAATTATTATTTGTAAAATCACCCCTGGATCTTCTCCAGGTCCATAAATCAAAAGCCCAATTTTTACCTCTTCTTGTTTCCATTGCTCTGGATTCAAGGTAGTTAGATTGACAGGGTTACAAGAATGGGCTGTACAGTTGGGAAAAGTTATTCCCTGTTTAATCTCTGCCCTCAATTGGGTTCCCTTGCATTCCTGGGGCCATTCCCAGGTAGGAGTTGTACTCCAACAGGCACAACTCCATTCACTATGTCCACAAAAATGATAACTTCTTTCTGACTGACTATCATAATCTCAATCTGCATAACAACCTGTAGGTAAATATGATATCTCTTTTGGTCGGGGGCAAATGTATTTTTCATATTCTCTCAATTTGAATATAAGTCATACAGGTTGGCTTAGATTAGTTATTATTTGGCTTGTTGCCATTAGTCTTCCTTCTGCTGAGTTTGTTCTTATCTCTATCCAGTATTGATAAGGGAATTCTTTTGAATTAAAACAAACCGTTTTATTTTCTCTTTCTTTACAAAGTCTGTATTGGGTTTGGTTGTGTACACAATTGCCAGTTATTGTTCCTTTACACTCATACATGGTGTGATAGACTAGTGTTTGAGAGGTTACTCTCCCTCGTCTAGTTGTGGTAATGCATTCATTACAGTTGTCACTTTTATCAGCTGCAGCAGTTTCCCATATGGGTTTTATCAGGACCACCACCAAAAGAGGTCCGGTCAGGATCATAGTGCTCAGCGGTCACAGCCCCAGGGGTTGCAGCCCTCAGCAGACTCTTCCAGCTGCAGCACTGATTCCCTCCGGTCTTGCCCTCTCTGGCAGGTCAGAGTTATATTTCCCGTCGGCTATTACAACAATAATATTTGATCCACAACAACTGTTCCAACGGGGTTATAGTTTCACACCGAATGTAAAAGAACTGTAATTGATTTCTCAGAAATTGTTCTTGGTCTCCTCTATGAGTAATAATATATTTTGAACAATTGGGGCATTTTGCCCTAATATATAGGTTGCAGGTTTACAGATAGGATATGGATTGGTATTTGCCCTTATTCTATTGCTTATTAAAATGATTTCAGTTGTGCCTGCTTTTCCCATATCATATCTACAGGAGTCAATATGAATTCCCTTAGTTACTTAAGTCCTCTTGAGGGTTAGCTTGGTGTCTCCAGGTTCAGTCACAACTTTCCATTCTCTTATGGGTCCTTTCACTTGTGACACGTGTGTCCACCTCTTTTTAGCAGTTCTTATCGCCATTTCTGTAGTTAAAAGAACAAGAAATGGTCCTTCCCAATGAGGGGATAAACTTTCTTCTCTCCAGCTTTTTATTAGTACCTTGTCCCCTGGTTGAATTTTATGTATTGAAAATCCCAAGGGGGTGCTTTGTGCTAGTATTCCCTTGGCCCCAAGTTCTTGTATGTTCTTATTCAGAGTAATGATATAACGTTGAATAGTGACATCCTCCAACTTGGGGTGACCTATTGGTAGTCCCTGGGTATATGGCATCCCATTTAACATTTCAAAAGGTGAAATTCCAGTAGTCGAATTTGTCATAGTCCTAATATTTAGTAAGGCTAGGGGAAGACATTTGATCCATGACATTTTAGTTTCAATCATTAATTTTGATAACTGATGTTTTAAGGTTTGATTCATCCTTTCTACTCTCCCAGAACTCTGGGGATGCCAAGGGGTATGAAAATCCCCTTGGATTCCTCTGATTTAACGTCAGATAAATTGCTCCTGTACCC